TTCCTTACAGCCCATTTCTATTCATTTTTTAAAATACATATAATGTTAATAATACTGTAGAATACTAATTTTATTTATTTTTATTATAGTATTATTTAATGTATTTATTATTTATTTATAATTTATGTAAATCGAAGATCATGTAACAGGTAGTTTACCAGGTTGACTACTAGGTGAATCACCTAGGTAAATTACCTGTTGTGCGTAACAGGTGGATCACCAGGTTGATTACCTCTTACTAAAATTGATAAATCATTAATTTGGTAGATCGTTGCGTGCAGCAAATTAAAGGAATATAAATATGAGTCTTCTCTGACCTAAAAAAAGAGAGTTCAGAAGTTCTATAGTTTTAAAAGTTTAAGAGATCAGAACAAAGTTGTTTTTTCTAGTTAATATATATTTTAATCCTTTAATATTTACCTTTACTTTTATAATTTCTATTTTTATATTATATCTTATCTTTATATTTATTATTATATTTATTAATAAAGTTATATTGTATTAAATATTCCCATTAAATCTTTAATTTGTTAATTTGTCACGTAATTCTTAATAAAACCTGAGTTAATCTTGTATAAATACTCTTTAGCATATACATCTTATTAAGCGAACAAGCTGATTTGATGTGCTAAAACCCCGCACAATAAAGAACTCACCTTGTAATATTTATTCGAATTTACTATTAAATAATTGAATTGAGTTGATCTTAGTGATCCTCGAGAAATTCTGAAAATTATTTCAGTAGTTTAAGTTAGTTTAGTTTAAGAATATTAATTATCCTTCAGACCCTTGTTCACATATTGATGTGACAATATTTTAATATGCTTTTTAATATTTCTCTGTCTACTGTGCTTTCCAAAGTGTATTGATATTTTCATAGGCTTGATATGTATTTGAAGCTATCCTCATTTTCAAATAAAAATAAAAATACACTTTTTGGAAATACATCAATTACTATATTTTTTTTTCAATTAAGTATCTATTAAACTCTAAATTATTTTTTAAATAAATTATCATCACATCTCTATAAAAAGATAAAATTTCTTCTGAAGATTTATCAAATATATGACGGTGTGAAACAAATTTATTGTTTTTGTGATATTTTCATTTATGGCTCTGAATTTTTTTCTTTGTATCATAAATTTAAAACAAAGTAGATAAGGAAAAGTATATATAGTAGTCATTAAAAATAATAATAAAACGTATATTATTTATAATCGATAATTTGTGGAATATAAATAAAAAACTTTTCTCATTGATCACTTGTGCCAAATATTTCCACAGTAGAGAAATACATTTTTTCACTGTAGTTATATATAAAACTTAATTATTTTTCTATCTTTTTACTTGTATAGATAAAAAAAAACATAAATATAATATCAGAAGTGTTTCTAGTCAACAGGATAATAATAACAATCAAGAAAATGAGAAAAATATAAAGTTTATTCCTATGGTTAGCAACATACAAAAAGAAAATAATATAACTATAAATATAGAAGAAGAAATAAAGGTACTTTTGATACCAGTGTACACAAGTAAAAAAAGAACTGTTAGAGAGTTATTTGAAGAAGAAACAGAAATAATTATTAGTAATGTTGTTAAATCAGAATCAAGTATTTCATTTGTAACAGAACCAAAATATAAAGAAATTTCAAATGGTGAAGAAAATGATGACTTATATATTAAGAAAGAATTTAAAACAATAAGAAGTAAAAAGAATAAAAATGAAAGAAATAAAAAAGTATTTGTGAAGAAACCTAAAAATATCTCTATTAAAATCTGGTATAAAGAAACCAATATAAAATTTCTTAAAGTTTTTGTTGAAGTGAAAAAAATTAAGGGAAAATTACCTTTTGCAAAAATTCTTATTGTTGAAAATCTTTTTTTTCAAAATCAAATTGAAGTAATTTTTGGAAAAATTGAAATAACCAATAAAATTAAAAATATAGTAATATATCTTTTGAATGAAGAAGAAGTACAAAAAGCTAAAAAAGTAAATCTAAAGGATACTGAAAATTACATTTATATGTAAGATGTGATAAAACAGTTACTTAATGAGTATGATAAATTACGCAAATGGAAAATTTAGGATATTCTTCTATATGTAAAAAGAAATAATTTGATGTTTTATTTTAATCATTTTGGAAAAGTGAAACAATTACATTTAATAATAAAAAAATGTAGTAATTAGGTCACGTGGAATTTGAAAATATAGAAGTCATAGAAAAATTATTAACAGAATGGTCAATTTGAATTAAAATAGATTGTTTAAGAATTATATCAGGTGATATCAGCTATGAAGAATTAAATAATAGAGGCAAATAGGTAGCAAAGTTAATCTAGTTACCTAGAGGTATGACAATATTGAATATCAAACAAATTGTTAAAAATATCAAAAGTCATACAATTTATGTTTCAAGAACTAGAGAAGAATGTAAAAGAAAAAATTATGTAATTATATCATTTGATTTAGAAGAAGAAATACAGAAATACCAGTACAGCACAATAAAATTAACAGAGGAAATCATGATTAGGATGATCTCTGTAATAACACCTCTTTGTTTCATTTGTAGTTCAGATTATACTTACATACAAAATTATTTTGAAATCCTGAAATTACAATTTCAGAAAAAAAAAGTCAAAATAGTTTTTCATAGAAGATGAAATTATTTTACTTAAAATCTAAATTTTTTTAACCATTCAGATTTATTTTTTAATTGAATATACATATAACTAGATATTTTTTTTACTTCTATATATAGAATAGATTTTGCATAAATTTCATAAAGTTGAAATATCTCAAAAATCTAAAATCAATTTTGAAAACATGTATAGTTCAGATTTATATAAAGCAAAAGAATGTAATGTAAATAAATATCATAAACAGTTAGTTTTTAATAAGAAAAAAAAATCAAACAATTTGATAATTTGTATAAAAAATATAAATTAAATTATTATTCCAATCTAATAAAAACTACTTCAAACTAAAATACTTATGCAGACATAGTTAAGAAGAAAGCTAATAATGTTAAAAAGAATATTAATAAGAATAAAATTGAAGAACAACATAAAAAATTTGATAAATTTAATTAAAATATAATAGAAACAATAGAATTGTATACTGCACAAATTGAAAAGTTGTGTGGGGAAATGGATGAAGTAGTTAAAGTTCTAACAGATATAACAAAAAAACTTACTGCTATTGAAAATCATCTTGATGAACATGATCAAGTTTTGAAAGAAAAAAATAAAAATAGAAAAGAAAAAGATATAGAAATGAGAGAAGAAACAAATGATCCAAATGTATTAAAAATATTAGACAATATGTCTAAAGATTAACTAATCTAGCTAATACTGTAAAAGGGTTAGAAACTAGAGTCCATGGTATAAGTGGATGTTTGGACTATATACAATCTGAAAACCAAGACAGACATTATTCAAAAACTAATTGGGGAGGTGTATAGGATTTCATGTAATTTCTTGCTTTAAAAATTAGTTTTAATATTAGTGGATACGGGTATTTATCTACTATTAATTTTTTATTTAAATATTTTATTTTTGTACAAATTTTAGTATACAGTTTTCTAATCTATAGCTTTTTGATAGGTTAGTATTCCTTTCCAGCAACTTTTTGCTCAAATTGGTTAAAAAGAGATGAGCAGGGACATGATCACCAGTTGTTTTAGGTAACACTAGAGCAATGATAAGTTGGGCAATTGTATTATTAATTTAGTTATAGCCAGTTGTATTAAATATACTTGTAGTTTTTATAAATTTGTTTTTTTTTTTTGTTCCAGTGAGGCCTTGTTCCAAATTTATTAATTAAGAAAAGAGAAAATCTTTTACATTATTATTACATAAAGCAAAATACACAACTTATCCTAATAACTATTGTAAAAAAAAAAGGGACTCAGACTAACTTTATAAAAAGACATGCCTACAACTTACCACTTAACAACAACAGCTATCCTCAGCATGTTAAGATCCTGCTGAACAACCTTTTTATAAATTTGTTTAATTTTTACTGCAAAATAAATTGTTTAATAAAGCATGACTCCATTGGAATTAAAAAAAAAATTTATAATCAATAATTCAGGTGACAAAATTAAATATATATGTTGTGCCTCAAATCGACTTTTTGCGTCAGATCACCACTGAGGACGTCAGGTGTCACCCATTGACCAGAATTATAAAACCAGCCTATGTTGATCCTTTTAATTTCACCCTAACCCTACCTTAATTTTGGCCAGTTTTAATCTGACGCAAGCGTTAATCTGAGGCACAACATATATAACTGCGCATATATTTTAGATCTTTTTGTTCACACGAGATGATTATTTTTTCATGCGCGTTATTTACTCGCGCTAAATATGACTCTAAAATTCAATTTCGAGTTTCTTTAATAATGAAAACATAGGGACATCCTTTATTTTTTGTCTGTTTTTTTTTTTAGAACAACTTTTTTTGTTGATTTTGCTTTCATAATAATTATTCTTTACTGTTTAAAATTTATGTCGACCATATAGAATCTACAAACGCGAAAATCGACAATTAAAAACGAAGTAAAAAACAAAGTAAAATAAAAATAACGACCTTGTATATATTTTCAAAATGATTAATGCCTAATATTACGGCGATACAAATACAAATGTTTCGAGCATTTACAGAATTATGATCGTTCACATGTCAATGTAAAGCAATAATAAAAGCAAAATAATTAATAAAGCAAAATAATTAATAAAGCAAAGTAATAATAAAGCAAAGCAAAGTGTCAATAACTGAATATAAAAAAGATTCTTTAAATTGGCGAAGTTTTATACAATTCAATAAAGTTCATTGGAGCAATGCTCTTGTTAGTTTAAAAAATAAAATAAAAAGGTCCTTATTTGATCTTCCAAATATTTAGCTTCAAAATTCTATGTTCAACCTATAATTAGAAATATGTGACAAAATATAATTTATTCCACTCTAACTCTTGTTAATTCTATTAAAAAATAATAATGAACACCGATAATGAAGAAAATAAAAATTCTCGACCAGTGATAACAACTGAAGAATTAACATTAACAACTGTATCATATAAATTATTACGACTTGTTCGCTCATTTCTTTTTGACCCAGAATTCTTTTGGTATACCGGGTCTTGTTTATTATTAATAGAAATAATTTTTAATGTACTCATAATTAAATATGTATCTTGTAATTAAATTAAATTATTTCTTTCTTCTCTACAATTTACGAATTCCTGATGCTAACTTAATTTATCAATTAAAATTTTGAAGATACAGAGATTGATTGGGAAGCCTATATGCAAGAAGTCGAGATATTTCTTAATGGTGAAAGAGATTACATGAAATTAATTGGAAATACTGGTCCATGTGTGTAAGTCAATGTTATTTTGACCTTTTCTAATCCTTTCTCTATCTTTTCTCACATATCTTTATCTGTCTATTATAGTTATCCTGCTGGTTTTATTTACATATATTCAGCTCTTTATTATATAACCTCAGGAGGAATAGAAATTCAAAAAGCACAATATTTATTTGCTATTATATATTTATGGACATTATATACTGTCTTTAATATTTATCATAAATCTCGAAGGGTATTTAATTATGAAATAAGTTTTAGAATTCAAAGTTGATTAAATAAATTTTAACTAATTACCCGCATTTATAAATATTTAGATCCCACCATATGTCTTAATTTTAATATGTCTATCTAAGAGATTACATTCAATTTATGTCTTGAGATTATTCAATGATACAATAACTATGGCTTTCTTGTATACTTGTATATGGGCATTGATTAATAAACGATGGAAGTTGAGTTGTGTACTTTATAGGTAAATTATTATTATTATTATTATTATTTCTTTGTAAATTATTTAATAAATAAATAAATAAAAAAAGATTAATGCAAAAAAACTACTTTGATAACTTTTATTAGCTTGGCCTTATCGGTAAAGATGAATGTTTTATTATTCTTTCCCGCATTTGGAATTCTTTTATTTAAGACTTTAGGAGCTTGGAAGACATTCTTCCATCTGGCAATAGTTGGCTTTATACAAGTCAGTAAATTAAAGATACACACACATATAATTATTTAATCTTCAATCTTAATATAATGTAATAACAATTTTATCATTTTTCTATAGATAATATTAGGATATCCATTTATATCAACATATCCACAATCTTATTTAAAACGTTCTTTTGAATTTTCACGTGTTTTTATTTATAAGTGGACTGTCAATTGGAAATTTTTTGATAAGATGACTTTTGAAAGTATTGGATTTTCCAATTCACTTTTAACTGGACATATATGTGTCTTATTTTTATTCTTGTTTAGAAGATGGTGTCGGTATGTTAATTTATTTTTATTCTTTCTTTTCTTGATGGTGGAAAAAAAATGACACGCTTATTAATTTATTAATTTAACATATGATAATATTCATAGTAAAGATAATGGTGTAATTTCTTTATTAGTTCGTGGTTTTGTGGGTAAACATGAAGAATTAGTTAGACAAGTAAAGAATGTTACTGCAGACCGTAAGTTTTTCTTTAAATCTATAATCATGTTTCCCTTTTTATAGTAACTAATCAATCAAGAATATATAATTTACTATCAATAAATATAATAGATATTACAACTTTAATGTTGACTAGTAATTTTATTGGAATTGTATTTTCTCGAACATTACATTATCAATTTTATTCTTGGTATTTTCATGGATTACCATTTTTATTATGGCATTGCATTAAATTGCCTGTTCCTTTTAGGTAAGCATTCATCTTTCCCTTTTTATTCTTTTCCATCTAATTCATATAGTGCATTAACATTTTCACTTTATCATTTTTTTAAAAAGATTTTTAATTCTTGCAGTAATTGAATCTTGTTGGAATGTATATCCATCTACAAGTGAAAGTTCTTTATTACTATTAATTTGTCATTTGATTATTTTGGTGGGATTGTGGAATAGTGAAGATTTGGAACAATAATTTTCTTTTTGAAAAATATACAACTAAAATAAAAGATTTTTCAAGATACCTTTATTATTTTAATCGCCCAATCATATTTAGTACACTGTCATTATTTTAACCTTTAATAACACTTTCCTATAAAAAATCTTTGACAGTACAATAAGAAAAATATTTATATCCATTTACATATTATCTTTTACCTGTAATATTGATCGTTTATTTATTCAGATAAATTTTTATAATAATAATAATAGAATGAATGAATAAATTGATTGTATATAGTTAAATATATAATGTAAATGCCATTTTTTTAGCAATATTCTACATGAGAAAAAATCAATAATATTCAATAACAATCTAAAAGATCTAATGAATATATTTTTGAGATGTTGGTAAGAAGATTTTCAAAATAAGTTTTTAATTTTTCTTGTATTTTGTCTTTTTGATATTTTTCAATATTTTTATAAAAAACTATCTTATTGAATATATTTTTAATCAATGAATTAAAAGTTAAATTTTGAATTTTATTAAAAATAATTTTATCTTTTATAAAAATTATTTCTCAAAATTATTTGACTTTATAATTTTGGAAATATACTTACACATGTTGAATAATAAAATTTTTGGTACAAATCAGTTTAGCTTATTTGCATATTATTCACAGATCAACTTGCCTGTTTGCATATTATCCAAAAAAAAACTTGTCTATTTGTTTATTTGTATATTATTTCACTTATTGTGAATTGCAACTATTCCAATGATCACATGATGATAGAGAAATTCATGTTTGTTTTTATATTCAAGAATGAAAGAGTTTATTTTCTTTCACATTTTTGAAATATTGTAATATGTAACACAGGTCAAAATTTTACAAATATTATACATATCAGGTATCTATAAATGTAAAAAAATATTTTTTATTCATATTGGATATCTGATATGTAACTGATATTAAAGATGAATATTATACCTTTTAATATTTAATATGTGTAATATTTATAAAATTTTAATTAGAAATAAATTATAATAAAAGAATCACTGTATCAAATAATAATTTCTATATTATAAATTAGTTAAAATCAGAATTCCTATATCATAAATTAGCTAAAATCAACTGTCTTATTTTTTTGTATTTGACTATTCCATTATATTATATAATTCTTTTATGTATATGTTATGGCCTTATAAGAAATATGCATATTTAAAAAATACTTAAAATATAATTAAAATATTATTGAAATATTATTAAAGTATATTTAAAATATATTTAAAATATACTTAATTATATTTGTGATAATCTACTTAAAATATTATTATTTTATAATTAA